GGGGCGACAAAGCCGGCAGGGGAGGGTAGTTAGGGGCGACCTGGCCGGCAGGGGAGGGCAGTTCGGGGGGACCAGGCCGACAGGGGAGGGCAGTTAGGGGTGACCAGGCCGGCAGGGGAGGGCAGTTGGGGGTGATCGGGCAGGTAGGGCAGCAGTTAGGCGTCAATCAGGCTGGCAGGGGAGTGGTTAGGGGGTGATTAGGCTGGCAGGCAGAAGCGGTTAGGGGCAATCAGGCAGTCGAGCGTTTGGGAGCCAGCACTCCCGGATTGTGAGAGGGGGCGTTTGGGCTGGCAGTCGGACATCCCCCAAGGAGTCCCAGATTGGAGAAGGTGCAGGCTGGGCTGAGGGACACTCCCCTCCCCCCCCCCCCCGGCATGAATTTTGGGCACCGGCCAGGGCTCTAGTGTGTGTGTGTGTGTGTGTGTGTGTGTGTGTGTGTGTGTATATAAAAGGCTAGGTGTCCATCCATCTGACCAGTAGCTATGACATGCACTGACCACCAGGGGGCAGATGCTTAATGCAGGAGCTGCCATGATGCGCAATGGTCATTTAAAAATAAACAGCACCACGGACCTGGCACTGACAAACCAACACTCGGCTTTCCCCAAGTGGAACACAGGCCCTGCCACCACCCCGGAGCAACACCCCACCAAATCACAGCCAATGCTGCCAAGAACCCATGGCGTAAAATGGGGCCCACAGTACAGCCCGAAAATGGTCGCTGTGGGTGCCAGGTAATGACGTCATGTAGCAACGCCTGGCTTTCTCTCCTTAGCAATTAGCCTCCTTAGAGTTTCTTCAGCCCAGGAACCTGACTTGCTTTATAGCCAGGTGCAAACATTTCATACTTTAACCAAATGTCTGTGAAGCGTTTTCACTTGCCTCATCTCATTTGATCCTCACAGAAGTCTTGGAGTAGGTAGATAGGAGACTCGATGGAATCCTATTTTCTTTTCATTAGCAAGAAAACGGAGATTTAGAAAGCTTAGAAACTTGACCTGACTGAAAAGAAGTAAGAAATGGTGGACCTTGAAAATGACTTTAGGTTTTCTTACTGCGCAGAAGATAGTCAAACACTGCTGCAGTTAAATATTTTACCCTTTATTCTCCCTGCATGATCTATAATAATAATCTGTTTCGTGTTGATATTTACTGCTGTGTTGCTGACAATTACCTGAAAGAGAAGTTGGGGTGCTTCACTGCGCTGGAAAAAGTTTAGCTACATCAGAAAGCAGGTCTAATTAAGCAAGTTTATTCTATAAATATAAAAGGCTAAGTTGACTGGCACATGCTCAATACATATAAAACTCTCACTGACGCCAATCACATGAGTGTGTTTCGATCTGTCATTGTCGATCATAAATTTGGTTGTCACTTCTATTAAAGAGAAAGGACGAATAGCGACATTAAAATATTTCTTCTAGTTAATTTCCTTTCAGTGTGCACAAATCCGTGCACTGGGACACTAGTATTGTAATAAGTATGTATGGTAGGTACTGAAAATATCGGGGGAGCACTTTGTGAAGTATATGACTGTCCACTATGCTGAACAGCTGAAACTAATACAAAATAATATTGAATGTGAACTGTAATTAAAAATAAAATTTTTAATTTTTTTGTTTTGATTTTTTAATCCTCACCTGAGGATTTTTCCATTAATTTTTGTTTTGTTTTTTAGAGAGAGTGGAAGAGAGAGGGAAAGACAGAGAGAAACATATATCTGAGAGAAACACAGCGACTGGTTGCCTCCTGCATGAGCCCCAACCAGCAGGGCCCAGGCCAGGGAGGAGCCTGTAACCAAGATATGTGCCCTTGACCGGAATTGCACCTGGGACCCTTTGGTCTGCAGGCTGACGCTCTATCCACTGAGCCAAACCGGCTAGGGCTAAAAATAAAATTTAAAAAATATATATCACCAGGAAAAAAATTAAAAGTCAATGTTTCTTTGCTTTGAGCTGATTTATATCAAACTTAATATAGTAATTTTAGCTACTTCTTTCCAGAAATCTTGAATATTTTGTTTGGTACTTATATATTTCCCGTAAAGATGTGGGAATTCACTAGAAGTGGTGTTTATTGGGCAAATGAAATCATTTAAGACTTGAGACAAAATAAATTAACAAAGGAACTTTGTTGAAAAGGTTAGAAACGTGTGTGTGTGTTGGGGGGGGGAGGTGGTGTGGAGGGGGCAGGCAGAGCTGTGGGCCATACCTAGGCATGTGGACTTTATTTAAAGGGCAGATGGAGCATCAGAAGTTTACATGGTTTCTTTTGTGGAAACAAAACTGTTGGAAGAGCAGAAGGGAAAGAGAATATGTCAGAAAAGCTTTTAAAAGTGTTCTAATGATTAATGAGACTCTGTTCCAGGGCAAGGGCAGTGGTAATGAACAAGAAGGGAAAGATTTAGAAGAAGCTAAAGTAATAGAATCAAGAGTACATGATTGTTGTTTAAATGTAGAGTGTGAGGGAGCAGGTAGAGTTGATGTAAATGCCAAAGCGGGGTTGGGAGAGAGAGGAGCTGTAAATACTGTGTGGGTGTGGGAGCTGTCATGTAATAGGTGAAGCTGTGGGCGTTGGAGAAACCTAGAACTCCATGCCTGCTTGTTCATGATTGAGAGCAGGAATGCGAGTGAGGATGGGTGCAGGGTCTGGTGCTGTGGAATCCAGGGAAAGAGGAATGCCCAGAATGAGGAGCTGCACATTGTCACCTGCTGCCACAGGGACACACCTTACTAGGAGAATGGATCTGGCCATTGGGAGAGGAGGTCGCTGATGACCTTTCTGGAGAGGAGCTAATAGTGCTTATTGTTCAGTCATCCAAACACTGCCTTAGGAAACTAAAGCAAGGTTAGGTGAGAGAGAGAGTTTACTGACAGAGTTGATCAATATGCCTTCTTCATTCAGGTAATAATAATTTCACTCTAAGAAAATAGTCCTTTCAGCTAAATCATGTTTGCCAAATGGGCCTTAATATGAGACTCACCTGGGGTACTTGTTAAGATCCTGTGGGTCTGGAACCTGTGAACCTTTACTGGTTTGTACAGGCACTCCACCTGACTTTTATGATCAGGGGTATTTGCGTTCCTCTAAGCTAGGTGAGCTAGCCATACAGGCAGACCTGGGAGATTTTACGGGTTTAGTTCTAGACCACTGCAATAAAATGAGTAACACAGTAAGCAAGTCATAATCAGGAGAATATGGTGTTCTGGAAACCGAGTTAAGAGTGTGTTTCATGGTGGGCAGGAGAAGTAGCTGATCAGAGGTCAAGTGAACTGAGACCTGACCATGGGGTTTTCAATGTGAAGGTGATAGGTGACTCCGGCAAAAACCTTTTCAGTGGAGTGGTAGAGACAAAAACTTGATTAGAAATAGTTGGATTTGGAGACAGAGTATATAACAACTCTTTCAAAAAATTTGCTCCTAAATGGGCAAGGAATGAATTGGAAGCTAGAGGGGGAGAGTGGTTGTTTGTGTGTAATCTGGGTTGGTTTTTATGTTGGAAGAAATCATAGCAGATTGGACTACTGAGAGGAATGGTCTGATAGAGGAGAATCATTGGTCTGGAGGCAAGAGTGGAGATTTGCAGGTGTGAGTCCTCATGTATGCATGAGGGAGAGATCTCTTGCCTAGGTGGAAATGGTGGTGGGGTTGGGAGTGTGGACTGTTTCCCACAGTAACAGGAGAAGGAGAATACATGGGTCCAGGTGCAGATAAATGGATAGATGTGGTGGTGGGAAACAGTCTTATTGGATTATTTCTGTTTGTCTCCGAAAAATAGGTAGCATAGTCCCTGAGATGCATGAGCTTGGAAGAGCAGGTGTCAGAAATTTGAGGAAAAATGAGAAATTTAATAGTCAACCTAGGACAGTGGGCAAGTGGATAGAATAGGGAAGTGTCATAAGATTGTTGAGCATCAGTAATAGCCCCTTTGAGGTTTGGTGATCATAATTAAAGTGAGACCAGTCAGCATGGTTATGTGTTTCTTTAGCCACATCCAACTGCACAGTTGCAAGAATGAAAAAAAGGCAAAAAGTTAAATTTAATGAGGGTTGGAGTTCTGCCAGTCAAGTGTGACATGCAAGAGAGGAATAGCGGTTGAAGGTGTAAGAAAGGAAGTGCTTAAAATGAAGGACTGTGGAATTTCAACTGGATAAGAAAGAAGTGAAAACATAATGGTAGTGAAGGTAGGTAATAGGATCAGTATGGTTTGTAGGTTTGGTGCGGTCAGTGGTTTGTAGGAGTCAGGAAAGTAGGAGGTGAGCTGGAAAGGGGTTGTTGGCTCGGGATGGGATGCTTGAAATTTCATTGGGACAGGAAGTTGTGTTTGGCAATGATAAGGACAAGGGTCTGAACTTGGGAGTGACTGAGGCAAGGTAGACAGATCATGAAACTGAAAGAATTTGTTAATAGTGACAGTAAACCAGGACCTAAAATCCTCATGGAATGGGGCTAGTGACCAGAGGGGTAATAGTTGGAATAGTCTGATCCTGAGGATTTTTAGAGAGGAGAGAAAAAAAGTAGTCTGGGGACGGTGGCAAGGTACAAGGAATACACCTACCCTATCACTAGATGCAGCGGTCAAGGTTGTGGAGAAAACAGTTATTGCTTCCAAAGCAGTGTTCTCAGGGAAAGCCAGATTTCATTAGAGCAAGAAGGAAAGTGAGCATTCAGGGAAGACTTCAGGATTGGGGAAAATAGAAGAGAACAGAGCTGAGAATGTTGAGTTTCATATGGGGATTACAGTGTGGGAATGAGGGGTTCCCTAGTAGTTTGAGACTTTTCATAAGTGATGTAAACAGATAAAGGACACAGTGCAATTGTCTTGGAGGCTAAAGGCAGATAGTAGTGGCAGAATAGTAAGTGATATGAGGAGGTGGGCCTTGCTTCTCTCCTGCAAGTAGAAGCCTGGGAGGGGCTGGTTTTCTTTCAAGTGTGTGGAGTAGGGGCTCAATATCTTAGATATCTTTTAAACTTTTTCCCATTAATTTTTAAACTTACAGATCATTAGTGATTATCAGCACTTTAGATGGGCGAATTGCTGCCTTGGATCCAGAGAATCATGGTAAAAAGCAATGGGATTTGGACGTGGGATCTGGCTCCTTGGTTTCATCCAGCCTTAGCAAACCAGAGGTAAGAATTTTCATTTAACAGAAAAACTCAGTTGTAATGAGCAATTGCTGATATTAATACTATTTATTTGCTTTAGAATTGGGGCTCAGGGCCCCATTGCTTAGGTGTGAGGCCTGTATGCCTCTTACTATGTCCCCTTGGGGCAATTACTTTTTTGTTCCTCAGTTCCCCTGTTGTAATGAGGTAGATGATATTGATCACCTACTTCTTAGGGTTGTTTTGGACATTAAATGAATTAATCATATAAATGAATAACTAAGGATACTATCTGCTATATCAGTATAGCTCATTATTTGAGCTGTAACATGCTCATTTGTTATTCTCACATAGTCCCTAAATAATAAAATAAATATAAGTAACTTAACTGTGCTTTAATAGTTAGAAATACGAGGGTGGAACAAAAGTAGGTTTACAGTTGTAAGTATGCAAAACAGTTTCTTCTTTTTTTTTAAACATCGGTGTATATTGATTGGTTGCCTCTCACGTGTGCCCTCATCAGGAGATTGAACCTGCAGTCCAGGTGGGTGCCCTTGACTGGGAATCGAACCCAAGACCCTTCAGTGCATGGGCTGACGCTCTAACCACTTAGACACATTGGCCAAGGCCAGAGTTTATTCTTGTACTATTATTTATTAATTATTGCATTATTTTCTATCTGAACAACTGTAAACCTACTTTTGCCTCACCCTGTACATACTGCAAAACCTCATAAGTGATTCTTTCTGTACATTTTCCCTCCAGTGTGCATCCTTATTGTAAGCATAATTCATCTGAAATTTTCTTGGAATGTAATTTTAGACAAATTTGGTTATTTGCAAAAAGAGACCTGCTTCCAGAACTACTCTGCCACGTGACTCTAAGACTTGGGTAGGTGGCTTAGCCCCTCAGAGTGTTGGTGTCCTCATCATGAAAGTTAGGACATTGCCTGCCTTGAGGAGGTTAGGGGAATGCATAAACGAGGCAAGTATTTTCTCATGTTTAGTCTTGACTCTGATGGATTAGTCTCACTTTTCTGGAGCTTTATTCTCCTGTTTAAATTATTTAAAACTAGAGGCCTGGTGCACAAAATTTGTGCATGGGAGGGGTGTCCCTTAGCCTGGTCTGCACCCTCTCCAATCTGGGACCCCTCAGGGATGTCTGACTGCCGGTTTAGGCCCAATCAGGATCAGGCCTAAACCGGCAGTTGGACATCCCTCTCACAATCCATAACTGCTCACCTGCCTGCTTGCCCCTAACCGCTTCTGCCTGCCAGCCTGATCATTCCCAACTGCCTTCCCCTGCTGGCCTGATTGCCCACAACTGCCCTCCCCTGCTGTGACCTGCCTCCTCCGCACAAGGCGGGGAGACGCTGGGACTGGCCTCCTCCACGCCATGTGGAGCCACGGGACCCCTAGGCCTCACCACACAGAGCTGCTGCCTGGCCCCCACTTCTGCTGTGCACATGGCCACTTTGTGATGGCCATCTTGTGATGACATCGCTTGCGAGGGCACAAGGACCACCTAGGCCAGGGGTGGGCAAACTTTTTGACTCGAGGGCCACAATGGGTTCTTAAACTGGACCGGAGGGCCGGAACAAAAGCATGGATGGAGTGTTTGTGTGAACTAATATAAATTCAAAGTAAACATCATTACTTTGAAAAAGGGTACGGTCTTTTTTTTTTTAGTTTTATTCATTTCAAACGGGCCGGATCCGGCCCGCGGGCCGTAGTTTGCCCACGGCTGACCTAGGCCCATGGTCGGCAAACTGCGGCTCGCGAGCCACATGCGGCTCTTTGGCCCCTTGAGTGTGGCTCTTCCTAAGCCTTAGGAGTACCCTAATTAAGTTAATAACAATGTACCTACCTATATAGTTTAAGTTTAAAAAATTTGGCTCTCAAAAGAAATTTCAATCGTTGTACTGTTGATATTTGGCTCTGTTGACTAATGAGTTTGCCGATCACTGGTCTAGGGCAATGTAATAACCATTTTGACAAGTGTGACGTGATATCTCACTATGGTTTTGATTTGCATTTTATGATGATTAGTGATGTTGAGCATCTTTTCATATACCTGTAACCCTGTGTATGCCTTCTTTGTAGAAATGTCTCTTCATGTCTCCTGCCTACTTTTTGATCAAATTGTGTATTTTTTTTATTGAATTGTATGAGTTTCTTATATATTTGGATATCAACCCCTTATTGGATATATAGGATGTCCCAAAAAATGTATACACACACTTTGAATAATTAAACACATCTCATTTAAAAAATTGGTCTATCAGCTATTAAAGTATATATACATTTTTTGGGACACCCTGTAGTATTTGAAAATATATTCTCCCATTCACTAGGTTGTCTTTTTGTTATGTTGATCATTTTCTTTGCTCTGCAGAAAGCTTTTTAGTTTGATGAAGTCCCATTTGTCTATTCTTGCTTTTGTTTCCCCAATTTCAAGTAGTTTATTACCTATGTTTTATTCTAGGAGTTTTGTGATTTTAGGGCTTACATTTAAGTCTTTAATCTATTTTGAGTTTATTTTTGTGTATGGTGTAAGACAAGCATGGCAAACTCCTGGCCTGCAGGCTGCATGTGGCCCACAATGGATATATTTGTGGCCCAGTCAATATAACTTAATTTTTACAATATCCTGTTATACATAATTATTAATAACTAGAACTACAACATTCGCTAATGACTGATTACTATAATCATGTTGCATTCATTTCCCCAATGCGCAGGCATACCATGTCTCTTCACTAATCCTAGCAGAGAATATTTTAGCAAAAAGCTCACTGGCTACCTTCCATGCAGGAGAAGAATCCCAAGACCTCTTTGTATTATCGAGACTTAAACTTTCTACCTCACAGAAAAGCAAAAAGAAAATCTAAAGTTATTTAACCATTTGTGATAGCATGATGGGTTTACTACATTTTACTGCTGCCCTGAGTTTGTGGAAGCATTTCTTGAGACTGTTTACTGTGTAGACATGTTGATGACAACAGCGTTGTTCCCAGCAGTGTAATATAACCTGATGTACTGTACAGGTTCAGTAGTGTGATCCTTACAGGGATTTTCCTGAGGTGGGTGTTGTGGGTCTCATTTTGTAGAAGAGGAAACAGGAGCGTGGAGAAATTAATTGCTTGGAGTCGCAAACAGATTAGGTGATAAAACTGGGATTGAACGTAGGCTTGCCTGACTGCATCCCATTCTGCTTGCTCTGGAGCCTTTTCCCTGTCTTGTCTGTACCTCCTTGCATAAGCTTAGGCTGTTCATCTCGTACAGCGGATCTCAAACTTTATGGTTCCCTTTACATTCTTAGAAATCATCGAGAGGTCCAAAGAGCTTTTTATCCCCCAGATTATATCTGTCTATACTTAAACCATCTTAAAAATTAAAACATAAATTTTAAAAAGACTTACTTATTAATTCATTAAAAAGACTGTGGGCCCATTGTATGACAGCATAAACAGCATATTTTTATGAAAAAAAAACTATATTTTCCAATACAAAAAATTTAATGAAAAAAGTGGCGCATTGTTTTACATTTTTGCAAATCAGTTCAATTTTTGGTTTAGCAGAAGAAAATTGGATTTTTATGTCTGCTTCTGCATTTACTGTGTTGCATTGTTGTTTTGGTTGAACTATATGAGGAAGAAAATCCAGACACATCCTATATATTAAAAGGCTAATATGCAAATTGTCCCCTCTACCAGGAGTTCGACTGGAAGTTCGACCAGGGGATGGGGATTGTGGCCAATCACCCACGGCCCCTCTCCCCAGCCGCCCCACCTCCGAGAGGCCCCCTCCCATCAGGGGTGGGGCCGGCCAGACCCTACCTGTGCATGAATTTCAGGCACTGGGCCTCTAGTAAATATACACTGAGTGGCCAGATTATTATGACCACCTGACGTTTGTAGGCAAATTAGCCATACACTGCATTGTATGGGATATGGAAGCTGAAGGCCTGTTTGAACACCTTTGCTGTCTGCAGTTACCAAGATAAAACATCTCCAATTGGCATAGGAACACAAGGATTGGACAGTCGAGCATTGGAAAAAAGTCATGTGGTCCAGTGAATCACATTTCCAATAGCATCATGCAGATGGTAGAGCAGGGGTGGGCAAACTTTTTGACTTGAGGGCCACAATGGGTTCTTAAACTGGACCGGAGGGCTGGAACAAAAGCATGGATGGAGTGTTTGTGTGAACTAATATAAATTCAAAGTAAACATCATTACATAAAAGGGTACGGTCTTTTTTTTTTTTAGTTTTATTCATTTCAAACAGGCCGGATTCGGCCCGCAGGCCGTAGTTTGCCCACGGCTGTGGTAGAGTGAGAATTTGGCAGAAACAGCATGAAAGCATGCACCCCACATGCATGAGTACAACCCTTCAAGCTGGTGGGGTAGTGTTATGGTTTGGGTCATGTTTTCCTGGCATGATTTGGGCCCTTTAATTCGTGTGACACAACATACCTAAGTATCGTTGCTGATCAGGTTCATCCTATCATGTTGATGGCGTATCCCAATGGAGATGGCTTCTTCCAACAAGACAATACACCATGCCACGGTGCTCGTATTGTGCAGGAGTGGTTTCAAGAACATGAGGGAGACTTTACCTTGCTTAGGTGGCCCACAGAATCACCAGATCTCAATCCAATTGAGCATTTGTGGGACGAAGTTAAAAGAGCCATCAGGCAACTGGTTCCATAACCATCAATCTCACAGAACTGGACAGTGCTATTCATCAGGCATGATGTCAGATTCCTTGCATCACCTTTCAACATCTCGTGGAGTCAATGCCAAGAAGAGTTGCCACAGTATTGAAGGCAAAAGGTGGCCCAACGAAGCACTGATGGGGTGGTCATAATAATCTGGCCACTCAGTTTATATATATATATCCCACATTCAAAGGCTGTTAAATTGCGTTGTTTACCCATATCTTCAGAAAAAAATCACTTCTGTCATGGTAAACAACCTGCCTCCCTATTTATAATGGTCTGGCCCTCTAGCAACTTCAGCGT